TTATTTAAGTAGTCTTTATTTTTGAAGCATCCCCCCTCCTTACTCTAGTGCAACTCTAATTTCAAAATTATTATTTTGATTATTTCTCAAATATCAGTGAAACTGGGAAAAAGGTTTCCAAACTGCTGACGGCTTGGTGCTGTGTGTCTCTGATCAAACTAGTAGCAACATGATATAAAACATAAATGGAAAGCATAAAAAAACCAAACTAACCCATAATTATAACTCAAAGCAACAATGGTATTAAACAGGAATTAAAATCTCTAGTAAAAAAATAAATAATTTGCAAGGTTATTTTGAATTTTGCTCCTTACATTATTGCAAACCAGAAAGCTCTTGCTACTAAAGATGAGATAGTGTACAGTGGACATGTTACTTTTGTCTTCTCAGTAACCACCATTCCTGGAACCTATCCATATTGGATAATTAGTCTACTTGCTAAGTATACGGGTGGTGTTTTTACAGTCATTTGCAGACATGTGCATTATGTCTTTCCTTTCCTCTCTATACCTTCCTTTTTCTGATAACTTCCCCTTCCTTTGAGGGAATTCTTCTCCTGATCAGCTTAGTAATGGAATATGATCCAATGCGGGCAAAATCAAAGCTCATCCCTGAAAATTTATATAGCTTGCTGTCCTGCTTTGGGGATCCCTGGGTGGTGCAAATGATCTGTATGTGGCTAGTAACCTAGAGGTTGGCAGTTTGAACCCAGCACTGTGTAAGAAAGGCCTGGTGACTTGCTTCCGTAAAGATTACAGCCAAGAAAATCCTAGAATAATTCTACTCTCTAACACATGGGGTCACCACAAGTCAGAATTGACTTGACAGCGACAGGTTTGGTTTTCTTTTTGTTGTTTTAGGTAACTGGTTGTGAGATGTAAGCCAAAACTGTCCATCATTGTCATTCACCATCTTTACCTCACATTAAAACCACCAATGAACCCCACTCCAAAAAGAACATCCCCAAAGAGAAAGTCAGCCTGGAAGAGAGAAAACCGATCTGGAAAACAAAAACAAAAACAAAAACATTTGAGTGATATGGGTAATGAAAACATGAGTTCTTCCGAGTATTTGGATACAGCCATGCCTGGACTGTCATTGCTGACGTCCGATGGCTCTTGGCTGAAAGCAAAGAATAGCAGAAAGATGTGTAGTGGTGTTTTATTGACTATGCAAAAGTATTTGATTGTGTGGATAATAACATTGAGAAGAATGGGAATTCCAGAACATTTGATTGTGCTCATCAGAAGCCTGTACATATAGACCAGGAGGCTGTCATTCAAATGCAACATGGGGATACTGCATCGTTTAAAATCAGGAAGGGAATGCATCAGGATTGTATCCTTTCACCATACTTATTCAATTTGTATGCTGAACAAATAATCCAAGAAACTGGACTATATGAAGAATGTGGCATCAGGATTAGAGGAGGCCTCATACAACCTGCTATACTCACCAGCCACTCCTTGGAAGGAAGATGGGGCAATCTACTTCCATAGTGATGCTGCCTCGGAAACCCAAGGAGGGGTCGCTATGAGTTGGGTCCGACTCGATGGCACATAACAACAACAACATACATAGACAACACAACTTTGTTTGCTGAAAGTAAGGATGACTTGAAGCACTTACTGATGAAGATAAAAGACTTCAGTCTGCAGTATGGATTACATGTATAGCTTGCTTATATAATATAAATTGGATTATATCTCAACATAAAGAAAATGAAAATCCTTACAACTGGAACAATAAGCAGCATCACAATAAATGGAGAAAAGATTAAAGATTTCATATTACTTCGGTTCCACAATCAACACCAATGGAAGCAGCAGTCAAGACATCAGACGACATATTGCACTGGACAAATCTGCTGCAAAAGACCTCTTTCTAGTGCTGAAGAGCAAATGTCTCCTTGAAGACTATGGTGTGCCTAACCCAAGCCATGGTATTTTCAATTGCCTCATATATGAGAGCTGGACAATGAACAAGAAGACTGAAGAAGAGTTGATGCTTTTGAGTTGTGGTGCTGGTGAAGAATACTGAAAGTACCATGGACTGCCAAAACAAACAAATTTGTCCTGGAAGAAATATAGCCAGAATGTTCCTTGGAAGTGAGACTGGCCAGACTTGGTCTCACCTACTTTGGTCAAGCTGTCAGAAGGGACCATTCCCTGGAGAAGGATGTCATGCTCTGTAAAGTGGAGGGTGAGAGAAGAAGGGGAAGGCCCTCAATGAGATGGATTGACACAGTGGCTGCAACTGTGAGGCTGGCACAGGACTGGACAGTGTTTCGCTCTGTTGTCCATAGGGTTGCTGTGAGTAAGAGTCAACTCGACGGCACCTAACAACAACAGTAACTTGCCTGGACTTCCCTGTATACCAAAAACCAAACCAAACTCAGTGCCATCAAGTTGATTCCAACTCATAGCGACCCCTCCTTGGGTTTCTGAGGAAGTAGACTGTCCAGTGGTCTTTCTGAACTTCCCTGTATATAAGCCAATAAATTGCCCTTCATGCTGACACTGATTGTTGGGTTTCCGTCACCTGCAACTAAAGGACAATTGATTAATAATTACAGGTATGCAAAATCTACCTTAAAATAAACTTAGGGAATTGCAATGATATTTATCTCTCTTTAATGTAGTAGTCTATGATGTACTGAAAGTAGACTAGGCATCTTTATGCAAAATTTAGATGAGTAATATGAAATCAGGTACAACACACAATATATGCCATTTAAACAAAATGTATATAGGAAATTGTTAGCATAATGTGTTTAACATTTTAATATACACCGAGAAACCTGAATCCCACTCCTTGCTACAAGGAAACAAACTGGCACACTCTGGATCTTAAATATCTATTATAGTAACTTTAACTCAAATTTATAATAGGAACAGGTGCAAAATTTGTTTACTGTAATTTATGGCTATTAATCCCATGTTATAATCAGCAATTATGAAAGGTCTACTTTCACTCTGAAATCATTGTTTGAAAAATAAGAGAGGCCAGGTGGAGCTTTTCTCCTTTAAAACTTTGACTCATGAACAAAATGCAGGACACTGAACTTAACATGGGTCAAGCAGCTTGTTTACTTACAAGAATTTGTCAAAAATTCAAAACTGAAGAGCCTCTAGAAATAAACTGGTTTTAAAATGACAAACTTCTAAGGGCTCTAAGTGAATTAGTCCAAATTTCACCCTCTCTAAGGCTGCAACATGGTTATTCACTAAAACACATGTTTATTATAAATCCTGTGGAAATTAATGTGTAATATTAATCAAATGAGCTGATAGTTATATTTAAGGAAACTCTGCCAAATTCTTTCCAAAAGAATAGCCTATAACTGAAAAGATGACAAAGATGTATTATATAGGGTAGTTTTTTCCTCCCTCAAATGGGCAGGGGAAAGTACAGGATAAATCCTTTGGTTTTTGTTCAGTTTTCAAATCTGAATTCTAGAAGGGATGGAACTCAACAGTTTTCTTGGAAATGAGACTAGATCATAACAGATTTTACTGTCAGGAAATTCCTCTCCACCCTAATATCCAGATCACATGTTCTTTTGTGTACTTTACCCCACTTTTCCCAATAACAATTCTACGACACATTTAATTCAATTTCATCCCATTTCTTGCCTGTTACATAGAGACAAATTTCACTTTTAGATTAACCCTGAATCCCTTGAAATTCCATTAACTTGTCTCTTCAGTAATAATGTGAACAACAATTCTACACAGATTCTTTATCATAACAGAAGATACTCGAAGTTGCTTTCGGATATATCTGAAATCACAAAACCTTATTTTCTATAAATCACATTTCCATTATTTCTAAACCAAGTTTTTTTTTTTTTTTAATTTTTGCCTGTTGGCTTTTCTTTCCCAATTTCAATTCCAAGTTACATATATCTCTTTTCTGTAACTTTCTCCTAAGCTCATCTTCCCATTATCTTTTTATACTTTTAACCTTTCCAAGTATCTTTAATTAATGCTTCCAGTTTCTTTTTTGGTCTAGAAACTTATTCCCATTGTCAACTACAAATGGACTTCTTTAATGTCCAATTTTGTCACTGTTTTCTTAATCATTAAGTACACAGATGCAATACAGATGTAATAATCTTTTACTCTTTTATAGTCACATTTTGATTTCATAACTGTATAAATTCCAATAAAATTAGGAAACTTTAAATTCAGTATGTGAGGTCATAATGCACACAGAGCTGCCATAAGGTATAAATTAAACCATGTGTAGACATAAATATACACACATACATTTGAATAACACATTGAAGAGTTTTAAGTGTTATTTCTTTAGTTATTGCTAGACATTTTCAAAACAGCATAAATCTGGCCATCACAATACCCCCTGTGTGGAGTGGAAATGGAATGAAAGGCACAGAATTCACAGGAAGATACAATTCACTTTGTAAACAAGTAAGAGCCCAGATTCATTAGCACTGATGGTTCAAACAGGAATGCAGAGCCAATGATTTTTTCAGGTGAATATAAGAAATCATTGTTAAGAGTATTTATTCAGTCTTTACAAAGACACTGTACTGAGTACTGCCAGTACTCATCAGTCATCTCAAAAGAGAAAGGTTACATATAAATGCAAAGGCAAGAATGGACAAGTGGTGAGGATCAGTTGTCCTGTGGCTAGACAGGGTGTCACATGGTTTTCCCGTTTAGTGAGCTTCCACTAAAGGGAATGCCAACTTTGTGGTCAACACAGTTGAACTTGCACCCAACTAACAAATGAAAAAGCTTGCAGCCAAGAGAATAAGGCATTTTAAAAGTTAGGATCTAATGAGCACTCACTTTACTGATCAGGTGTAAAAAAAGAGCTCTTAGTATGAAGAAGAGCCTTACAAGTAAATTCAAGAGGCTAAAAAGTGTATCTTCTTGAAATAAAGTTTTTTAGGTTGTTTAATTACATTCTAGACAAACAAAAAATTCCAACCACCCACTGATAATACCCTAATCTTCCAATAGCCAGCCAGGGCACTGTCCTTTGCAACTGTCTGGGAATTTTCACCTTCTTCCAGAAGAAATGCTTAATTTTCACTGCCAAAGCTTTTGGTAGATTCACTTTTCACTGGGAAAAGAACAACAACAAAAAAAAGGTAAACACAGAATCAAGTGTTTATACTGTTTCAGTTTAGCTTGCTCTGCTTTTCCCTCCTTGTCTCCCCTTCTGAAGCATAGCAGCAGCACTGTTCACGGTGCTGACAACCCAAGTCATGTCCCTGGGCAACAGGATATACAATTCTGGCCACAATAAATAGAGAGATGATGTCTGAAAGTGGCAGTTATACTTTCTGAGGTAACATCCTTCCTGACTCTGTGGAAGATGCAGGAGTGGTCACTTCACGGTGTGGTTATGAGCCTACACTCACAGCACTGAATGGACCACTGTGATCATACCGGCTGGCCAACTGTGGTTGGAATAAAGTTTTCCATGATTTCATTTTTCTTTTTTAAACTGAAAATTGAGGGTCAGTACATATACATTGAGTGGATGTGGGCTGACAGAAGACTAACCGCCACCTCCTTCCTTCTATTGGAATGAAGAATCTGAGCAGAACTGGAGGCAAAGCTTTTGTTTTGCCTAGGATGACCAAGACAGCAAATCTACTCACTCAGTTCCTGGAGGACAGAGACTGGATTCTTCTTCCCCATATCTATCCCCAGAGTGTAGCATGGACTAAGCATGCAATCAACGTTTGCTGAATCAATATAATTACAAGCCAATTTGTCTCTAGTTTCTTTTTTTTCCCCTTATCTGCAAAATGGGAACCAGAGTGATTATTAATTTTTCTGTATTATGAAGCTAGAGTCCCTGGGTGGTGCACAGTTAACATACGTGGCTGCTAACAAAAAGGTCGGAGGTTTGAGTCTACCATGAAGTACCTCAGAAGAAAAGTTTGGTGATCTATTTCTGAAAAATCAGTTGTTGAAAACCCTATGAAGCACAGTTCTACTCTGTGGGGGGTCATTGGGAATCAAAACTGACTTGATGAGAACTGAGTTTTTAAAGCTTTTTCAGAAAAATTTTTTATTATGAGGCTAAAAGCAAATAATATATAAAAGCCATACAAACATTTCTAAGTTCAAAATACTTTGCTTGAAGCTCACAGCTGTATGCCTTCTTTAGACAGATAAGAAAAATAAAGCTCAGAAAGGACAGTGAATGTGCTAAAGCCCATAGTTAAGAAAACTGATGCTAGAACCATAAACCTGTTCCTTTTCCTCACATTCCAACCACCAAATTCCTTGAGATTGCTGATAGTACCTAGACTTTACCAGCAACCAAACTGGTGTTTACAGAGCCCTCTCTGTGTTTTGTTCTGTTGTGCGTGGAGTCACCAAGAGTCAGAGGCCAAACCGATGGCAGCTAACAACAGCTCTGTGAGTATGGCACTGAAATATTAGGTTCTAATGAAGATATGGTTCCTGTTCTTGTGGAATTCCAGAAACTTTCGCAGAATGCTTCAGCTGTCTGCATACTACAAGTTAGCTGTTTTTTCCTTTGACTTCTGCAGCACTTTATGCAAACTCTATTATAACTCATCTGTCATGTTATAAAGTTTTCAAGGATGTTCTTGTGCCTGACATCCATCTCCTTTATCTTCTCTACCCCCGCCACATGCACACACACACTCACACACAGAAAAAGAAAGAAAAGAAGAGTAAAGAGGAATGAGAGGAGAAGAGAAGGAGGGAGAATGGATGAAGGATTCATTGGCCAACAAGAGACTGTTGTATGAGTAGAATGGAGGTAGCTGTTATGCCAAGTATTTTCACTAATTCAAATAATCAATTTTGGGTTTGATTTCTTCTCAAAAGGTAGAAAATAGAATCATTTTCTAATCTCAGTTGTATTAGGATGTCGTTGTTGTGTGCTGCCGAGATGATTTCAACTCCTAGTGATTCTACAGGACAGTGCAGAACTACCCCATGGGTTTCATAGACTAATATTTACGCAACCAGACTGCCATATCTTTCTCCTGCAAAGTGGCTGGCAGGGTTTGAACCACTGACCTTTTTCAGTTAGCAGCTAAGCCTCTGTGCTACCAGAGCTCCTCGAAAGGTAAATTTTGCTGATATTTTTCAATTAATGGAGCTTTGTATTATTTGATAGTGTAGAGAAATATATTTCCATTTCTTTGCCTATTGAGATTGCTAGTTTTCTTCTTTTAATAGCGTTCATTCTTTTTTTTTTTGTTTGTTTTGGACTGAAACGCAGCATGCTTTTATCAAATAAGTCAAATCTGTGATTCTAACGTTGGCCAACAAGAGTCTGTGAACCAAGTAACACCATTCTTAGCACTTCCAGGGATTGATAAAAGACGGGTAAGTAAGCAACACTCTGTATTCCCATATGTACCTCCACCAATCTACACTGACTGGTTAACCTTTTATAGCCAACCTTCTTCATTCCTTAAAAAGCAAAAATCAAACAAACAAAACTTGCCTACACCCCATCAGTACAAGCAATTTTGAAAAAGTAAATTAGGGCAATCTATAATCAAAACAAACATTGTAATAACCACCAAGTGTGAAAACTACTGAATCTCAGCCCAGAATCATATTTTCTCCCAAACTAGAAGAGAGACACCTTGTACTATGAACCCAGGATCAAAACCCAACATTTTTTTTTTGCCTCTGGAGAGGGAAGGAATTTCAAAGCTTTCCAAAGAAAATGCTCTATTTATCCCCTTCCAGTATCAAGGGACCACCCTGCAGAATATCCAATGTTGTGAAGCACTTATACAAAGATATGCATGTGCAGGAAGACCTGGCATTATATTTAGGGTGTGCCCTCATGACATGACAACACTGGTATGGTCCCTAAAATCTCTTCAGATTCTTGTTAGTTCTTTGCTACAATAGTTCTAAGTGATCCTCTGCACTGAAAACTGACTTATCACCTGTGCTTCCTACAGATAAGTCAAGCATCATTTATTTACCAGAAAATACCACATTTTACTTAATAAGGTTCCAAATACACTACTAAAGTAGTCTTTTCTTTTTGCTTCATTACAGGAAGCCTTACTTCAAAATGTGCATTTCTAAACAAGGTGAAAGAGGAGCTGTGTGTGCTGTGTTTATTTACACAGACTATATTTGCCCTGGCTAGTAATCCACATTACTAAACAAATTTCCCTGTAACCAACATTTAGAAAGAGAGCTATGTGAGTTATATTAAGAAAGAAGTAAGGTTTAAAAAAATAAGCTTTAAAAAAATTAAACTGGTCATTTAAACTGAAATTTTTTCTGAGAAAATAAAATCGAATATTCTCAAATTGTGAAAAATACACAGTCAAGGATAAATACATTTAGAGATTCAAACACTATTATTAGGAGCTTCTCTTCTGCTAATTAAAATTTGGTTTCAAATTGTGGCACTGAAAAAATTTTGGCCACTCTGAATAAAAAAAAAAATTTTTTTTCTACTAACTTTGTTAAGAAAAAGCCTGTACACATGTACAGAGAAAAACTCACAATACAGGTTATTGCCTGTTAGACTCTGTAATGCCCATTTAATAAGGAAACTTGAACCACATATTTCAAATAATAGTATTTAAAAAAAAAAGTAAGCGTTCAAGACAAATCAAGGATCCTCTGGTCCTCTGGAGTTTGTTATAATGAAACTTGGGCTGCACTTAGAATTCTTAGCTGAAAGTGGTATCTAATGGTTTTAAGTTAGATAACTTCTCTGCCATTTTTAAAGCAAGTACTGAATTTTATTCATCCTTTAGGATCTTGTATTCAGAAACACAACTAAGCCTACTTTAGTAACTGCAAACATGGATAAGTCATTTTATGCATTAATCCTTTACTTTCTCAGTTCTAATACTTCCTTTTCTCCAGAAAGAGAAAAATATTACCTAAAGACACACTAAAATGCTAAGTAAGGACTATGACCAAGGAAACAAAAACAAGTAAAATAAAACCTGTGGGTTTAGAAAAGAGAAAGAGTCAAGGCAATGCAGCCAAAATTTTAAATATGTTCCTTGCAACCTTATCTCTTTATATAAGGTAAGATAGTAGAAACATTTTGTAATCCCTAATTTTAGGACAGGAGGCCTGGTGGCACAGTGGTTAAAGAGCTAGGCTGCTAAGTGAAAGTCTGGAGGTTCCAACCCTAAGTGAAATGTTGGCAGTTCCAGCCACTCCATAGAAGAAAAAGATGTGGCAGTCTGCTTCCATTCTACTCTGTCCTATAGGGGTGCTATGAGTTGGGAATATCTCAGTAGCAATGGGTTTGGTTTTTGGTAATTTTAGGAACCTCTGAACAAAAAGGTCAACTAGTAACTCAGCAAAGACAAAGACTATTATTCTAAGACTTTTAGCTTTAAAAAGAAAAGAGAAAAACACATAGAACGTCAATAAGGCAAAGACTGTCCTTTTCTAGCCAGACATTCCATCTGATTCATTCATTTTTAATTTGCTATTATGGGCCTACACACTCTCAGACCGACAGGAGCAGGAGCTCATTAACTTAGTTCTTTATAGAGTATTAATTGTAAATGAGTAAATATAGTTGGAAAACTATACATATATACATATATATGGCACTCATGGAATTATTTTAGTTACAGTAGCTATTTTACAGCATTAGAGGAACAAATTTACACTTACCTTGGTGAAGAACTTTCATGTTGTTACTAGATCCTTTCAATACCACATGCAATGTTGGGTACTCTATAATCACTTTGTTCTTCAAATTGTCTAGGATACTTTTACAAGGATCCAGTTCATAGTAACTTATTAATAAAACAGTAAGACAAAAACAAACAAAAAACACCCTCAATATTAAAAAAGACTCATAAATAAAACAAATATATCAGACAGTCCCTCACATGGGGGGTGGTGGTGAGAGGAAAGTGATGACATTAATTCAGTAGTTATTTCCTTATAAGTTTAATACATTCTAAGAAAATCAAGCAGAAGAACTATTACTGAGGTTCTAAAACTACATCAAAAGTTTTATCAAAGAATTTGATATTAAGAAAGTTTGAGAACAAACTGTTGCTTTCATAACACGTAAGGAATGCAAACTAACTTTTATATAACGTTGTGTACTGTTGTTATGTACCGTTGAGTCGGACCCGACTCATAGCGACCCCTCCTTGGGTTTCCGAGGCAGTATCACTACTGAAGTAGATTGCCCTATCTTCCTTCCAAGGAGCGGCTGGTGGGTTTGAATCACAAGCCTCTGGTTGGCAGTCCAGTGCCTTAGGCACTATGCTACCAGAGCTCCCCTTTTATATAATAGCTATGTTTACTATGTCATGAATTATTCTTGAATAAAAGCACTACCTAAAAACTCAAAATCCTTTACATTTATTATCCATTTCATGAAAAAGTTCTAATAATATACAGATTTAAAACTGTTCGCTACAAAATGCTTTTGTAGAAACTTAATAAATGGTTTCTAGAAATTTATATTGCCATACAATTAACACTGGCCTTCCTTCATCCTGAAATCTATCTATCTATCTATATGTATATATGAATATTTGGGTCTTTTAATGGAACAGAAGCACATAATTGAAGCAATAAGCAGTTTATCAGTCTTATCATGACACAGATGTGAAACATGTCACAGATAATTAGATGCCACTGTTACTGTGAGGTTAGTTCTCACTTCTGGTGACACAATAGCTGCAATCTTCTGAGAAGCAGACTGCCAAGCCTTTCTTCTGTGGTGATGCTAGTGGATTCAAATCGTCACACGTTTAGGTCAGCAGTTGAATGTCAACTGTTTGTGCCATCCAGGGACCTAATTAGATACTACTATTTCCTTAAACTCTATCATCCATCAGTTTGTTGTACTATGGTGGCTTGCATGTAGCTATTATATTAAGGACAAAGCAAGGCTTTCAAAAACTTTTTTAAAAAATAAAATAAATCTAGTCATTTACAATGGAAATTTACTTACTGTGAAAAAATAAAAGTTGATATTCTCAAATGGTGAAAAATATAAAGTGACCCAGGAGGGTCACTCATGGTGGCCAGGTTTTAATAGAACACGCAGACTAAGGTAGATTAAGAGGAAAGGTGTGTGGATCTACTTTCAAAAATTAGTCAATGAAAGCCCTATGAGCTACAACAGAATACTGCCTGATACAGTTCTGGAAGACAAGCCCCTTAGGCTGGAACAAAGGACTCAAGCATCCCAATGATCATGAAGATGGCACAGGACCCGGCAGCATTAAGTTCTGTTGTACACCGAGTCACCCCGAGTTAGGGCCAACTTGATGGCAACTAACAACAACAACATTCCTTAAAGTATGAAATTCTCAAGTCGTTACTTTAAAGCGCAGAAGTTCTCCAACATTTTTCTCTATCTCCATCAATGTCATATGATATCTACATGCAAAACACATATCCCATGGGATGCCCAGCATGATAGCCATAACTCCATCTTTTTCTCTTCCACTTGAGAAAGCACAATGGAATATAGGTGACCAAGAATGAAGTTATCATCAGATACATTTGAATCCACTGTAATTTTGTTTGAAGACTAAATTAGTCTCTAACTTTTGTATTTCTTAAATCAGTAACAAATTACTTGCATCATAACTCATAGTTAAGTAAGACATGCAGTATACTTATTAAAAGCACTTGATGTAGTGATCTGTGTTCTAAGTTTGTCTCATGCAACAGCTTTTCAAACCGGGAATACTGAAGCGCTTAAAACACACAAAGCCAAGTCCACTATAAAAACTTACTTAAAAAGTACGTGACAAGTGAGAGGACAACTGCAAAACCAAAACTTCGCTTATGTCTGCCTGACCACACACTCCACCCGTGGAATTATTCATTTATAATCACAGGATGTTTTTTATGTTGAAAAGAAACTTGAAATGCAAAATACTCAGTTATCCTAAACCAGCCACCCTAGTGCCCACAGAACATAGAACACAGGCATTCTTTTCCAGTGTAATGAAATACAGATGTGCTTATAACACATTAAAAGTGGTTTCAGCACTCAAGGATTAAATGCTTCACATCTTTTAAGCATTATTTCCATTTGAAATAAGCAGAACTTTTAAAAAGATTAACTACACAAAAGTAAATTGAGATTGGGTTAGATACCAAAACGTAAGATTAGCTTATAAAGTAAAATATAAAATGAGTATAACTAAATTTTTCTTAGTAGAAAACTAGACTTGAATTCTCAAAGAAGAACAAGTAGTATACTACAAAGGAGCTCTGGTGGTGTAGTGGTTAAAGCATTAGGTTGCTAACCAAAAGGTCGGTGGTTCAAACCCACCAGCTACTCTGAAGGAGAAAGATGAGGCAGTATGCTTCTGTAGACTGACAGCCTTGGAAACCTAATGACTTATCTTCTATACTTTCTAACTGAATCATAAGGCTTCTATTAAGAAACATTTTCCAAATGTTTTTCACTTACAGTCATATGTCACTTAATATCCACGGTAAGTTCTATGAAATAGGAAGTTAGATGATTTGGATGTTGTGTGAACACCGTATTATACCAGCATCCCCAGACTATGAATGAGGTCCATTCCTAAGTCTGTTACTAAGTCAAATTTGTGCCCAAGTTGGAACAGTTAGGTACAGTTCATATCTAATATTAGTCAAATGTTTGTCTTAATATACAGTATTTAGTGAAACTTTCTATGCATGAACCAAAACTAAACCCACTGATTGCCATCAAGTTGATTCTGACTCACAGCACCTCCACACACGCACACACATGCATATATTTGAGTTCTATGCATAAAAATGTATTAAAGAAATACTATCAGAGACACTCAAATACCTTTAACATAATACAATATAATGTTTTCATGCATGTTGCAAACTAGTGCCTGTTTGTTTTATGAACCACAGTCTGTACCTCTAATTTTTATTATAGGCTTTTCAGATTTAGAGGTTGGGACCACAGATGTATATAAGCAGTTGGATGTCCCAAATGAACACTATGCAACATGTAACTGTATTTCAGTTTTTGGTACTTAATTTTCAGTGTATACCCAATGCTTTAGGTCTTTTATGTCTTTATGTAATATTAAATGTTTATTAGTTTCTCTAGATTTCCAAAGCTGAAACAATTAAAAAAAAAAAAAAAAGATAGCTCTTCAAAGCCATATGGAAACCAAATTTTAGTACTACTGATAATGCAGTATATGTTGCCAGCAAAGAAACATTCAGAGATACAGATAACTTGCCATATCACAGGTTATGCTGTTAGGTGCCACTTAGTTAGCCACAACTCATAGAGACCTTATGTACAACAAAATGAAACACTGCCTGGCCCTTGTACCATCCTCACAATCCTCACGCTGGAGTCCATCATTTGAGAACTGTATCAATCCACCTTGTTGAGAGTCTTCCCATTCTTCACTGACCCTCCACCATTTTCACTGCTATTCATAAGGTTCTCAGTGGCCAGTTTTTCAGAAGTAGATGGCTTATCCTTCTTCCCAGTCTATCTTCATCTGGAAGCTCTGCTGAAACCAGTCCACCATGGCTGACTCTGGTATTTTAAATACTGGTGGCATAGCTTCCAGCCTCACAGCAACATAGAAGCCACCATAGTATGACAAATTGACGGACAAGTGGTAGTATCACAGCTTATACATGATTCCAATCTTAATATCATGATTACATTTGTATACTTAAAGCAAAATTATCCCTGTTTGCTGTGCCAAGTAAGTACTTGTGCAAAGGATACAAATGGAAAGATTTATAAGAAAGTTGCCAACTAATGAAATATTTTTTTAAAGTTTTATTCAAATGCAATAAAAATCTGGTATGCTGTGTAACAATGTTTTGGTTAGAATCACTGACTTTTATTTCATGTTTAACCTAAAATCTTGCAAACGTCTAATTATAGCTATAGCACTTAAAGCGCTAAACTTCTGGGCTTCAGCTTTCTAGTCTGAAATATCAGGAGGTTCAACTTCACTAAATAATCTTTTAGCTAAAATTCTGAATTTCTTTGATTTTTCTCCTGTGAACGGCTACTCTTAGTCTACCATTAATATTTATCTGTGATTAAAACTAAATTATGTGATCTGTTCAAAGCACAAATAGGAGTGGCATTTTATAGACTCAGAGTTAAGTGAAGCAGCAATTTTTAGTGGTTGCTTGGGTTTGGAGTCTAATTCCCTGAGTTAAAGTGTTGGCTCCATCACTCCCTGGTCTGAGATTCTGGTTTGGGATTAGATTAATCTCAAATTTCCATGCTTTAAAATGGAGATAAAGACAGTACTACCTCAGAGAGTTACTATGAGGGATAAATGATAAAACAGAAAATGCTGGCTAAACCATCAAAGACTAACCCATCAGGTTTTACATTTATGTTTTCCAAAACTAATTATACCTTCTTATAGAAACTTTAGTAAAGGACAAAGTCAATCAACTATTTTAAGAACAAAAACTGACATTTATTATGGAAATGCTGAAACATGCATTTGCCTTTGTGTGTATTTTGCATTTTAAGTGTAGTCTTACAATTTTTAGTACAACCTTCAAACCATTATTTTATATCACATTTACTTCCAAGAAGCTAAAAGTACTACTTTGAACATCATGTGTCTGCTTCCATTATCTCAAGGCAAATTTTAGAGGGTCCAGCTTGGCAGTGCCTACAACATTTAGGTTTTAAATCCGTTGTATGTCTTTAAGCCAATGAATCTTAAGGGATGGCTTTATCTTCTTGAAATTTCCATCAGATGAACGGCTCTGTTACTGTGAGACAAACTATTATAGGCTGGAAGAGTTAAGA